AGTAACTCAAACATAGGTTAGGGGTTTGTTACAGGAGTGGGTGGGTGAAATTCTGTGGCCTGCGTTGTGCAGGAGGTCAGACTAGATGATCATAATGGTCCCTTCTGACCTTAAAGTCTATGAGATAAGAATGGAATGTAGACTGTGGCAGAAATTAATGAGAAAAAGTGAGATATCAGGAAGGAATATGTATAAACAAGATGCAGTTGTTGATCATTATTGTCTGTAACAAAAGGTATAAATGCTTGCCCTAACTGTTTATCTAACGGAGACCTGCCTGGGACGGGGGGAGGGCGGGGGGGAAGAGAGGGAACCCCCGCCCATGTGTACTCTCCCCTTGCAAGTGTCAGGAAAATAAACTGTCTCTGACTTGTTGCAACCAACCTGAGAGTGAAGACTGTTTTCTTCCACACAAGCAAACTATAAATACAATACAGAAATGAGTTTCAATCACACAGAAAAAGACAGGCACTAAAGCCTCACAGAGATGCACTGAAAGCAAAGGGCTCAGATTTAGAACTGCTGAAACATACCTGGGCTGAAAAGCAGGACTGGAAGGAACCAAGAAAGGATATCTAATGAGTATTGCTGGGATGTGAAAGAGAGCTGGAACAATAGCCTGCTGTAGCACTAGATCCTGCAGGAACCTCCTTTGATGACCATAGTCAAAAAGGAACCAACTGAAACATTTGGAAAGCAGCATTTATACTCAATAGGCGTGTGCAGCAGGGGACTTGATCTGTTCTTTACCTTACTACTACTGACTTCAGGAATGAAAAAGCTTGATAGCTAAGGGAGCTCCACCAGGCTACAGCTATCCTCAGTCTTATCTCGTTATCCTGCACAAGTTGTAGTGTTAGAGAACATGATGTCCCTTGCTACATTACATAAAATCACTGGCTTCAATATCATTCCTCTGTAGGAAGTGGTTAAAACACTAGTGACATTTTATAGTAAATTATTAATGCCTTAAAACTAAACATAAATATTTTATTAGGTTCCTTTATTTGAAATTAGTCCACTGAAAAAGCTAAACATTTCAAAAGCAAACTAGGGCTGCCAAGCGATTAAAAAAAATTAATTGCACAATTAATCGCACTGTTAAACAATAATAGAATACCATTTATTTAAATATTTTTGGATGTTTTCTACATTTTCAAATATATTGATTTCAATTACAACACAGAATACAAAGTGTACAATGCTCACTTTATATTTATTTTTGATTACAAATATTTGCACTGTAAAAAACAAAAGAAATAGTATATTTCAATTCACCTAATAGAAGTACTGTAGTGCAATATCTTCATAATGAAAGTTGAACTCACAAATGTAGAATTATGTATAAAAATTTGCATTAAAAAATAAAACGATATAAAACTTTAGAAGCTACAAGTCCACTCAGTCCTACTTCTTGTTCAGCCAATTGCTCAGACAAACAAGTTTGGTTACAATTTGCAGGAGATAATGCTGCCCCCGTCTTGTTTACAGTGTCAACTGAAAGTGAGAACTGGCGTTCGCAAGGCATTGTTGTAGCCGGCATCGCAAGGTTTTACGTGCCAGATGCGCTAAAGATTCATATGTCCCTTCATGCTTCAACCACCATTCCAGAAGACATGTGTCCATGCTGATGATGGGTTCTGCTCGATAACAATCCAAAGCAGAGCAGACCAACGCATATTCATTTTCATCATCTGAGTCAGATGCCACCAGCAGAAGGTTGATTTTCTTTTTTTGATGGTTCAGGTTCTGTAGTTTCCATATCAGAGTGTTGCTCTCTTAAGACTTCTGAAAGCATACTCTGTACCTCATCCCTCTCAGATTTTGGAAGGCACTTCAGATTCTTAAACCTTGGGTCGAGTGCTGTATCTATCAGTAGAAATCTCACATTGGTACCTTCTTTGCGTTTTGTCAAATCTGCAGTGAAAGTGTTCTTAAAATGAACATGTGCAGGGTCATCATCCCAGACTACTATAACATGAAATATATGGCAGAAAGTGGGTAAAACAGAACAGGAGACATACAATCATCCCCCAAGGAGTTCAGTCACAAATTTAATTAACACTTGTTTAAAAAAAAAAAAACAAAAAAAAACAAAAAAAAACATCAGTGTGGAAGCATGTCCTCTGGAATGGTGGCCGAAGCATGGAAGGGGCATATGAATGTTTAGCATATCCGGCACGTAAATACCTTGCAACGCCGGCTATAAAAGTGCCATATGAACGCCTGTTCTCACTTTCAGGTGACATTGTAAATAAGAAGCAGTCAGCATTATCTCCTGTAAATGTAAACAAACTTGTTTGTCTTAGCGATTGGCTGAACAAAAATTTGAGTGGAACTGTAGGGTCTAAAGTTTTACATGGTTTTGTTTTTGAGTGCAATTATGTAACAAAAAAATAATCTGCATTTGTAAATTACACTTTCACAATAAAGAGATTGCACTACAGTATTTGTATGAGGTGAATTGAAAAATATTATTTCTTTTATCATTTTTATAGTGCAAATATTTGTAATAAAAATATAAAGTGAGCACTGTACACTTTGTATTCTGTGTTGTAACAGAAATCAATATATTTGAAAATGTAGAAAAAGATCCCAAAATATTTAATAAATTTCAATTGATATTCTATTGTATTCTAAAGGATGTCAATTATTAGGAGAAAGACTGAACTGTCTCTTCAGACAAAATTGAGCTGAAAGCAAGATTCTCCAATAGTCTGCTATTGTAACGGACAGAAGGCAGCATTAGAAGTTGCCTATAACGTGGACATACCTTCCTTCCTGTTCCTGAGTGTGCCTTTATTGGAAAATGTTTAATATTTGAGACACGAACACTATTTGAGACATCTGACATTTAAAATTCTAGCAAACCAGGTTAATGTCAAAGACTAAAAGGATCGGGATTTGTTTACAGTTTCGTGGTACATGTGCCAGCTCAGCAGCAAATTAAGCTTGACTACAGCAATCCTCAGAACATAAGGTGTAAATGCTGCTAATACCACAGGAGACTGGTTCAATCTTTCTCCAGATTCAGTTCCATTCGTTCTCTAATGGTGGTGTGAAACTATTGCTAAAGCACCATATGAACGGACTTCTCAATTGTAATTGTCTCAGTCAGATAAAACTTTAGATATGGGCAGCTTTTCTTTGAAAAAGATTGAAGGCAAAACTATGCCAAACCAATAAGGGAAAATAAATTTGATGTAAAACTGATCCCATTTGTTCAGTTTAGTAACTTAAGAAATGGACAGAACAAGAGAATGCATAATCCAACAAGATAATACCATATTTCTTGAAAAAGTCTATAAGCTTTAATATAATAGGGTTTCCTTCATGATGTCCGAATTTTTTTTTTAAAGTAAGTTGTGGAATTTACAAGTGTAAAAAACAAGGAGAAAAAATATTACAAGATTTAAGTTTGTTATGAATGCATTTTGCTTCATGAGACTTTTCAATAAATATTTGCTGAAATTGGCATTTTTATTTTTACTAAGAAAAAATAAGCACCAACATAAAAAGAGTTAGAGTAAATTAAAGTTAGCACTATGTATAACAGTGTTAACTGCAACAGGAATGGAAGAGTGCTCTCACCCAACACATTCCCTTCCACCCAATATGATGGAAAACGCTGATTTTTAAATTAAACTGATTAAATAAAAAGTCAATACTCTTACACAAGTTTTGTTCATAGATATATGTAATAGAAAGGGTATTCAATACTTCATTAAAAAAAAAACACACTTCATTGTAGCTTACGGTAGCTACAACCTATTTATTTGAGTAATTGCTAGAGCATGCAAATTATCTGAAACAATGCAGAGTGCTTTGGCCACGAAATACTCAGGCATCAAGGTTAATTTAACAGCAGTACTGGCCAGTATTCAGCAACTGAATGAAATGCAGTGAATACTCATATTAATTTGTTAAAACAGACAAAGTTGTGTGCCAAACATTTACTTTAAAACACATGCAAGTTTTAATTGCAATTTAAATCTGTAAAGAAAAGCTGAAGGATTCCAAAGTGCAACACAAATGAAGAAAGGTAACTTAGGTTTACAAGTGTTGGTCTGACGTTTATGTGGTTTATGATGTAGCTATTTATGTTTCTTTAGTAAAAACCATGTCAATGCCCTTCAAGAATAATGGACCAAATCCATGGGACTAGATTGGTGTCTTCTATAGGAGAGGGGCAAAGAAAAGCGTTTGTGCCTTTTTCTGGCACCAACTTCTTTGGAGAGAGGCTTTCTGTGGGGAAAGGCAAGAATTTCAAAGGCAGCACACTCTTCTAACTCTGCCTATCTTGAAGGAGGATGAGAAAAGAAACCCATTCCCTGTGGCTCAAGGGCCATACTGCAGAGATAGCTACTGTTCCAATGGCCTGTCTCTCCTTGGGAATGCAGCTCCTGAACTGACAGTGGCCTAGATCTGCTTAACATAAGCAGCAGAAAGGACATAGGACGAACCACTACAGCTTCAAGTTATATTATTTCTTGACCATCTTTTCACATGGAAATCCAGAAGCAGAGCCTGACCTCTGTTGCTCTACCCCACAACGAAATAGTGAAGCCCTGCAGGTGCTATTCATGGAAATTCACCAGATCAGAGAAAGGCACAGAATAGTGCCACAGAAGCAGCACTGCCCCACTGCCTCTTTCGCACACAGTGAACTCCAAAAAATTATCTAGGCCACTTTTTTAAAACTAAACACGGAAGTCCAGACACTGCTTCCAATGAAGCCTGTGTGAATTTTTTCATTGACTTCAGTGGAATGAGGAGTGATAATTTCCTGGAAACATGAAAAGAGTATTAGTGAAGTAACGCAGAGATGCATGCTCCCTATTAATATAACGTATTATTTAATTATGCTTGAAATTTGAACTCTGAAGTAGCAAGGTCTATGGTAACCTGCCACCATTCGTGGTAGCACAAAAAGAAAATGTCAAAAGAATGTCTGAGTGGATGGGTAGACAATTGAGACAATTTACCAGGAAAAAAATAAGCAGATAAAACAGTATTCTAGTTTATTACGTATAGAAAGATTTCCAGAATTTACAAACACCCACATTTTTCATTCCAGGAAGAGTTTTGATTTGAAGACTTCACCCATGGTTCTTTTTTTTCCTTTTTTCTCCTAACAATATATACAATGGAAGACTTTGATTTCTTTTTTCTGCTTTTTGTAAGTTTCTGTGCAATAGATGAGTTCAAATTGACACTTGTAAATACCATCTACAGTAAGTTTATCTTCATTTGAGTTAATACAGCCTATTTTACAAGAGGAGTACAAAATTATTATTTTTTCTTTTGGAAAGAATTTAGCTCAACATCAGGGTTATCTTACAACTGATAGTATCAGTAAATATGACTGTACAATCAAGGCCCAGGGGCCAATGATTCATATTATATTATTTTCTGAATTACAATCTTAAAACAAGAATAGTACCCTACTCTATTCTTATTAGCCTTGTTTTAAGCAGGTTCCCCACTCTGTTTACAACAGAATATAGTATACCTCAGTTCCACATCAAAAAAGATGTGCTGTAGGAAAAGTTACATTTTAATTAAAAAAAAAAAAAGTACATGTATAAATCAAAACCTATGTTAAATATTTAATACTCTTCAACCAACATTAACAGTTTTGTATGTAATAATTTACAATGATGATTTGTCATACAGGTTTTCAGCAGCAAATGAAATGTAATGTATCATGTAAATGTGCTAGTACAATACCCATTCTCACCATGACATAGTGGTGGGCACATCAGTTCATTGTGTCCAGCTAAGTCCTTATGGTAGAGGATGAAGTAATAGAGACTCATTGTCCAGGTGTCACAGTGCTTTTGCTTGGCACAACATAGAATGTGCAGTTCAGTCAACTAACTCCTGAGGTTTGTGTAAAGTAAACAAACTGAACTGGATGCATCGTACCCATCTATGGACGAGGAGGAGGATGTGAGGTCCTAGTTGTGATTCATGTAACATTTATAGTCTGGATACCCATGAGTTAAAAGAAGGATTTGCTGAGGTTGTATAGGTCATCATTCTGAAATTGAAAGAGAAAGAAAATAACCATCTTAGGCTGGTAAACACACTGCTTATAATTACTGCTTTGAACAACAAAAATGACATGTGCCATTCAAACTTCAGTCTTTAGCACCTTAGAAAAGAACAACGTGCATAAACTGTACTAAAACATGTAATAATTACTAAAGTATCAAAGATGTTGAAAACCAGAAATATATTTTAAACATATTTGAGAGATTCATATGTGGAAAAAAGAAAACAATTAAAAGTGTTTATATTGATTAGATTCCTTGACACCAATTTCTACATCAAAGAAAAAAGTCCAGACCATTATACTTCTGGGGTGTTTTGTACTCTCTGCAAGGAAGTTTTTGGTTAGACTTCTGACCCCACTTTCCTGCCTACCTAGGTGCACAATTTCTTGTATGAGAAGGTGCCATGCATCACTCAACATGCCCACCACTGACCATTAGTAAGTTATGAAAAACTATAAAAATGCAAATTTTGAACATTTCCATGGAGCCAGAAGTCAGGACATATTGGTGATATCCACTGACATCTTTTTAAAAATATAGTTCATATCACTGACAGAAGACTGATGCCTCATCCACACGGTGTGTTAGTCTGTACTAGTAGGGTATAAATTCTAGTATAACCCAGCATGTCACGCATCAACTGGCCCAAGTTGACCCTGGTGGCATGCACTGGAAGCTCCCTAGCGCACCAGGACTACTAGACTAGAATTTACATCCCACTGATGTGGACTAATGCATCATATAGATAATCTCTGACTCCTCACAGGATGTTGCAGCCATAATTCTGCTTCTGAGCCTACTCTCAGTAGGGAGGTTATGACATCATTAAAACTAAGACTTTGACAAAGTGACCCACCCACCAGCGAAAAATATTTCATAACACCACTACTTTCTGTTTTTACTTCTGGGCTAAATAGAATTTATAAGCTAAAGATTCAGATTTTATTAAATGTGTATATTTTTCATAACATATACTATGTCCTAAAAAATAGAGTAATAGTATATTTCCCCCCTGCAAATAAAGACTTTCCATAGGGACGCTGAAGTAAAAACTGAAAAGGCCTCCTGTCCTATACTCTCTCATTTCCCAAGAAACAGAATTTACTTTGTGTGGTCCTTCAAATGAAAGGAAAATCTATCCTTGCAAATGATGCGTGGTATGCTGTGAAAACTCCCTGGAGAATTATCTCACAGATCTCTCATTTACTTTCAACTTTCTCCTGAACTCATATTGCAATCTACTGGAATGTTCCTACCAGAATATCTATATACAGCTTAACATAGCTTCACAGCTTTCAACTATGTTGGACCTAAAAATAGACAGTAATGCCATACTTTATTAAAGGACGAGTGACAAAGAAAGAAATTGCCTAATTTAAACTGAGAAGTAGTGAAATGTGCATGATTTGCTTTTCATTTCATATCATATCTGGCTCTAATCCAGCATAGCTGAATGAATTTAGTGCAAGAACAAACTGTACTCAGTAGTATGGTCACATGCTCCAACCTGCACAGTGGAAGAAACAGGGAGGGAAATGTATATAGTTCTTCTACTTATGTCAAGCTTGTTTTGAGATATTTTCAATAAATAAAAACAATTTTCAGTGTCAAAGCAATATATCATATCTATTATCTAATGTTTCTGTAATCTACCTCAACTCCCAAATCTGTCATGCATTACTTATAAAAATCCTCTCTTGCTTCCCTCAACACAACCAGTACCATCAAGACTCTTTTGTAAAGAAACCTGGTGCAATCTCTGGGTGTTACTCCCCAGTCTTCTGTACACAGAAACTAATACAAGAGAAAAAGCATTTACTGGAGACAGGGAAATATTATCTAGCGAAATCATTCAGAAACTTCAACAGTTCTGAAGAAAATAGTAATTATGGAAGACTAGGTGCATAAGCTATCAAAACCCTTGGGAAAGTGAAACAGGGTGAAGGCTGGAGTAGGTTGTATATCTAGGAATTTCTGTGACTCAGGATGACTGGCCAAAAATATATGGAGCAGTAACTGTAGTACATTTTCAATGCATGTAAGCTGGCTCTCAGTAGTTCCTTAGAAAAGCACCATGAAAAGGATACTTATAGTAGTAACGTGGGTCAGTTTCAGATCTATTACCACACCTTCTACGTCTGCAGGGTTACAACAGGATAGGATACTCTTGTAAAGATTTCCTGAAAATTATCTTGACACACTACTGTGAAGCCATATAAGCAACCTCAGTTTCCTTGTAAAATAGTTTGGAGCAAAGACACCACCATTTTAACTGGAGAATCTTTCAAGATCTCAGAACTCTGTCCATTTGAATTAAGCTTTTGAGTGTATCAGTTGTTTTTGAAACAGGAATGAAGAGATGCTCTAGAACACATCCTTTGAAACACTTTTACATAGATCTATAAAAACAGTTATCCCCCTTTAAGTAAAGTGATTCTACTTCTGAAGAATCTGTACTGTTCATTTAGGCAAACAGCCCATATTATTTTGGTCTAAGTCTTCAAATTTCTTTATAAAAACAAAAACAAAAACAAAAACTATACAAGTTCCAAGGATTCTAAAGTAGGCATCTGAAACCTGTTACACACGTCCTACATTACAAAAACATAACACACACAAAAGTGACAAAAAACATTTAGAAACATTTGATTCTCTGCTAAGGAAAGTTTTAGCCTAGACAGTTGATTTTAAAATGACCTACTTATCAACTCCTTATCCCCTTCTGCCCCAAAAAGATGTATAATGGAAAGACTGATAACTGCATAACTGTGGTGCGTGGTCTGACTGATTCCACACACAACAAAAACAAAGATAACATCCATACTGAAAGCAGACCTGCTTCCTCAAGGTCACTGTAATATCGCCATAACGATATAACATAAATAGGGCCTTAGATGTGTGTGTGTGTGTGTGTGTGTGTGTGTGTGTGTGTGTGTGTGTGTGT